TCCATGACTGTTCCAAAATCAACATCATAACAACCTCCGATCAATGTATTTTCTCACACTACTTAATGTGAAAAGAAACAAACCTGGTAAAGATGCCTTTATAAATATTTTGCCATTTTAGCTTGAATTTTAATGGCATGTTGTATTGTTTTTAAACACTGATTTCAGATATCCCTGATGTAGAACTTGAATGCCTCCCAGCATTAAGCATTGGTATTATACATTGAGTCCATTTCTAGAAATAGGATTTTTATGGCCAGGCTTCATACTTTCACATGTTGGACTTATCTAAGGAGCAGTGCTAATTACTGTTTGCCAACCTTTGTTTCCAGTGTAACCAGAGTTGCTTAAGTGTGTCCAGGCGAGATAAGCTCATGGGACTCCTTTAATTCTCTCATTTTGCTGGGTTAGGTTAGTCAAGAGAATATATCTTAAGTTGCTCAAGAAACTGCTTCTTTTTAGATTAAAAAGAAACCCCTTCTTTAAAAAAAAACTATTTTAAAATATTTATGTATAAAATACTGGGGTACAGGCCAGAGGTGCAGGGGTGGTGAGAGGATTCACCAGAGATAGAGTGGGGAACAGAACAGGCCGACTGATGAAGTACACTGCTGAGGGGAGCAGTGGGCGGGCCAGGAGAGCTCTGCCATGCCATGTGGGTCACCTCTGGGGCTAGAGCTAGAACTTACACTGAAGTGGCTGTGGCTAGCTTGCAGTGCTGAATCCTAACCCATTGTGCCACCAGGTAGGGCCCGGAACCACTCCGTTCTGCTCTGAGTTAGCACCTCACATTTCAGTTCTGACAAATTCCAGACATGAAACTATTCAGGAAAGGGCTTGCACACCTGTCAATGCTGCCTACTCATGTGTGCCTGGGTGTGTTCTGGCTTGAGCCCATAGAATCTCTTGCAAGGTCCAAATGTGGAAGAGCATGATTTGCATTTCCCTTCCTTTGAGGTGCCCAGGAAGGAATGCCCCACCCACCCGAAACCTAACTTTCTCAAGTCTAGTCCTCAGGTTTTCAACAAATGCTAATATCTTCATTTTGAACAAGGAAATGATGGCAATGGATTGGATATAGCAAAGTACTGCTATGACTTTATTCCTAGAGCCTCTCACTAGTGACCCATTATTAAGTTATGTATTAAGGTTTTCCTGAAATAAGGTGAAAAATCTAGAAGAGAGAACAAAAGTCAGAAGTGAACCTGGCAGGGTGCCAAGGACCTTATTTTGCCCCTCAATAAGAACACAGCATGCCCTCTTCTCCCTGAAAAGAACACTGGAAGTGAAGGTGCAGTGCTAAAGGAGAGACACAGACACTCAGAGCTGGCTGGGAGCTGGACCACAAGCAGATTCACTACATAGCTAGAAAACAGTCCCTAGAATAATTCTGTGTATAGTATCTTATTTTTATTTTTTGTTTTTAAATTCTGAAACTGCACATAGCTTTTGACATTCACCTAGCTCGAGGCTTCAAGGATACTTAATATTAAAGATGAGTTATTTGTCTACCCAAGAAGGTCTTTTGATTCTTTGAGAGCAATGAAGTGACTTTTGAAAATACATTCCAGACTTACAGAAGATTATAAGTAATTATGGAAATATTTAGAACAGTAAAGAATAAAGGCCCTTATATATGAACGTGAAGTACTCATTCCTTTGATTTTCCTTCTTTTCTAGAGATGACTACCACCCTGACATTGGTGTTTATCATTTCCATATGTTTTATATTTTTTACCAATTAATACATGTATCCCTCAAATAGTGTCTTTATCATGTGTGATTAAACTTCATAGAAATGATATTGTGCACTCATATTCTCGGTACTACTTTTACTGTGAATATATGGTGTTTGAGAATGATCTGTTAGTCCTTGTACTCTGATTTATTCATAATCACAGTAATAGCGTGTTTTTTTGCTAAAAGTTTGCTATTTTTTCCCCATTTGTAGATACTTGGTTTTGTTCCTTAGTATTGACCATTAACAGTGCACAGCAGAGTAGCATAATATTCCTGCTTATGTCTATCACTTCGCTGCAGGATACTCTCTCATACTAACCTCCAGGTGGAATAGCCAGTTGTAGAATATACATTTTAAATGTAATAAGTACATCTCCAAAACGATCATTTCAATGCAGACTTTCAAGGCAATGTATGACAATTCTTGTCATCTTGTTCTGGAGCAATACTTAGTGTTGCAAAACATTAATTTTTGTCAGTCTGAGAGGTGTAGAACAACATATCACTATGGATTTAGCCTGGATTCCCTTTCCCTGTTTTTTTTTTTTAAAGATTTATTTATGCATACAGAATTGAGGTACAGGCCAGAGATACAGGGAGAGTGAGAGGATTCACTAGAGACAGTGGGAAACAGAACAGACAGATTGAATGAAATACACTGCTGAGGGGAGCAGTGGGTGCATCAGGAGAGGGCTGCCATGCCATGTAGGTCAGTTCCTTGGCTGGGGATTGAACTTGTGCTGCAGTGGCTACGGCTACAGCTAGCTTCATAGTTCTGTGCTTTAACCCACTGCGCCACCAGGGAGGGCCCCCTCTCCCTGTTTTCTAGTGAAGATGCGCATCCTTCATGTATTATTGGTAGCTTAGCTAGTTTCCCCACTGGGTAGTTGGTCTTTTACATTCTGATTTAGAGGGATTCTCTTTGTATTATGAATGCAAATCCTGTGTGATTTATGATTTATGTGTGTGACAGCTAGCTTCCCTAGTCTATGGCTTCCTTAATTCTTAATTTATGTTGTCTTTCATATGATTTTAAATTCTAATATATGCACATGTGTTATTATTCCTTTCAGATTGCCCTTTTCGGTTTCTACACTAAAAACCCTTTCCTAACCATCTAGTTGCTTTCTCACTTTTTTTTAAAAAAAGATTTATTTATTTCTTCATACAGAACTGGGGTACAGGCCAGAGGCTCAGGGGCGGTGAGAGGCTTTACCAGAGACAGAGAGGGGAGCAGAGTAGCATAGAACAGGCAGATCGACAAAGGACACTGCTGAGGGGAGCAGCGAGCGCGTCAGGAGAGGTCTGCCACACCATGTGGTCACCTCCCGGGCAGGCAGGAATCAAACTCATGCAGAAGTGGCTTTTGCTTCTCAGTGCTGTGTTTTAACCTGCTGCACCACCAGGGAGAGCTGCTTTCTCACTTTTTTAATGCTTGTGGTTGGTGTGACAAATGGAGAACTACACTTTGTTTTATATATCTGAGTTATCAGTGCCATTTATTAAACAACTACGTCCCCTCTGGTATCCCTCTTACATTAGGACTCCACAAAGAATGATAGACCCAGATGATAACATTTTTGGCATTCATTCGTGAACTTCATGGCAGAATTGATAGTTTTTGATAGTGTTTTCTCTAATTTGGAACACTGGATTGTATATGCTCATTTGTTATGTAAAAATCTATTAACCAAGTTAAATCTCTCACATTCAAAACAGTTCATATGAATCACTGTGAAGGAGATGCAGTAGACCCCTCTGCTCTGGTTCTGGATTAGATTTGGCTGCATGTAATAGAGAACAAGTCAGAAGTCCAATTGGACTTTGTTAATGTGAAAGATAAATAACACTCTGTCTGTGCCTAAGTGTCTGGGGCTAGTGACCTAAAATATATACTTGAGTTACTCCCAGTAGCTTTTGGGGTTGGTGGGTTCTTCTCTCCACTTTCTGTACTTGATAATCACTCAGAGGTGACTTGCTTTTCCTAGCAAGAATAGCCAGCCACAAGCCTCAGGGAGCCACATCTTTCTCCTACACCCTTGCCCCATGTATTTCCCACTGGGCAGGTATATTGTCACTGAATTCAAGTATTGTTTTACCCACACCATATTCAGCAATATTTATATCTTAGCTTTAGAAATGTATTTTTCAGTAAATGCGCACAACAGATTTTATTATTCCCTAGCAATCCAGCTGATTTCTCTTCCCAACTAACTCCCTTCTTTATTTTTCTGGACGTTCCTTAATTTTCCCTTCTTCCACCCATCTTCCTGTCTTTTCCTGTGATCTCCACCCCTGCCCCCTCACTGAGGCCTCCCCCTAGCTGGCTTCCCCCATTATGCCATCTTCAGTGGACAGTCCAGTTTGTACCATAATGAGGCACAGACTGCCCTTTGAATATGCTGTGCATTCCTGGATGCTTTGACACAGTGAAGTTTGCAAAATTCTGGTTCTGGACCATCACTACATCATTTTTCTCCTCATCTGTCATCCCAAAATGTGGTTGTAAAATGACAAAATTATTTTGAGGCTGTATATTGAGAAACTCATATATGATAAGGTATTTTTAGTATATAAAAGTAGAAAACTGCTGGTGGCGCAGCGGGTTAAAGCACAGCAATAAGAAGCTAAAGCCACTGTAGCATGAGTTCGATCCCTGCTTGCCCCGTTGGTGATCCACATGGCGCGGCAGACCTCTCCTGACCCGCCCTCTGCTCCCTTCAGCAGTGTACTTTGTTGATCTTCCTGTTCTGCTCCCCACTCTGTCTCTGGTGAATTCTCTCACTGCCCCTGCACCTCTGGCCTAACCCCAATTCTATATGGATAAATAAATAAATCTTTAAAAAAAAAAGTAGAAAACTGCTTTAGACTGAATGTTGAATCCTGTTCATCAAAGTCTTACCATAGACCAAGTATAAAATTCTTCATTGTTTCATTCATATATAAAGTAGTCATGTTTTATTCATGTTATTAGATGCCAGAAAGTAAGCCACCATTGATGACTGCTTATATGACAATATTAAGGATGCTTAATATTTTATATACATTATGGCCTTTTTGTCCTCTCAGAACATGAATGAGGTTGCTTATCTCCATTTACAGGTGAAGATCGTAAAACAGAGGATAGCAATTTTCCCCACGCAATAATACCTAGGTACCAGCTGACACTCAATTCTATCCAGGGTCTGACTGATTGCTCTTTCAGTTCTTTTAATCATAGGCTAAACCACTAAAACATTATTAACTCATTGTATCTTTAGGTCTTCACTGAGTGGTCTTCTCACGTCATCTTTTAAGCAGCACCAAGAATCTTTGGCAGCAGAGAGAGAGAGGCGGCGACAGGAGAGAGAAGAAAGGTTGCAGAGAATAGAGCGGGAAGAAAGAAACAAATTCAAGTAAGGCATAGTTTAAGATTTTTTCCAATAATGAATTAAAATGTAAAGCACATTACTTCATAGTTTTTATATGACTAATACTGGTGCTAATGTAATGTTTGCTTCGGATTCAGTCTCTATTTTATTTTCCACGAAAAGGAAGACATACTTGCAGTAGGCAGCATCTGTGTTATGGCCTTTTTCTAACAATATGGCAGGAAGCACAACCAGCCAGCCAAATATAATTAAGGGCTTGTATATTCCTGGGTTGTCCATTATCTCAGATGGTCTTATCCAGGCCTTCCTGAAGACAGAGAACTTAATTGTCATAACTTAATTTGCCACTTCCCCTTAAAGCCACTCATGTTTTATTCATATTCTGTTGGATGCCTGAGAGTGAGTGCTTTTCCCACCTTCGAGTTGGCTTCTTCTCCCCTTAGTAGATTTCAGTATACTTTTTTGATCAGGAATCTCACCTCCTATGGAAGAGAAAGGCCATGTGCAAGTCATCTGCCTGAGCTTGTTGGTCTCTGTCCAGTAAGGATGTCTTTCTGGATACGGCTTGCTGCACGGCCTGGCCCATCTGCCCCTTTGTCCTTCAGCCTGGTCGCCTGTGCTCCACAACCTCCGTCTACCTTCTTTTACTCCTCTCTTGGGCTTCCTGCAGTGCTTTTTTTTTTTTTTTTTTTTGGAATGAAGAACACCTGCTGGATTTCCCTTATACATTTCATTCCTCCTACAACTCTGTCCTCTTTCTTCCACCCCCTTCCTTCTGGCTCTTCCCTTCTCATTTTTCCTTTCATCGTCCCAGTCACCACACTTCTCTTTCACTTATTTCCCCTTTTCTGTTACCTCATTCCATAGAATAGTTTCTTTGGCAAACAATGTTACGATCAGTTACTCCCAGTTAAGCCTACAAAGCATGTATAACATTGTTAGTGAGGATTTACAGGTTCAGTGACTTTTCTTCCAGAAGCCAGGAACAGTGTGTGTTATCATAGAAATGGTCAAAATATGAAGAGAGTTGTGAAATCATCTCAGTTTTACCTCAATTCTACATGAAAACGAATATCCCAAGTGTGTGGGTGAGATGGTAATCCTGGTTTTGTCGGATGGGTTATTGACTTGTATGCAGTAAGCCAGCATCATTCCCCCTCAAGAGTATGTGAAATACTGCCTGTGTCAGGGTGATAGCAAATGACACATGGAAATGCCACACCTGTGTGCATCTTTGCACATTAGATAGCTCTGGAAGTTGTCTCTTTGGAAAGACCAATTTGTAAAACCACTGGAACCTGTTAGGTGCTTCCTGATTCAGGACTTTCTGACGGGTTTTGCCTGTTTTACTGCCAAATAGCAGATGAAAGTCTGACTGAACAAATGGAAAATTCCAAGATTAATTTACACATCTACTGATTTTGACTGAAAAACCTCTTAAAACCGGGTGCCAGTTCTGAGAAAGATGCTGCCAGCACACACCCTTCTGTCTCCCCTCACATCACTGAATGCAGCCATAAACCTTCCCAGGATGCATGGGACACTGAAGCTCTGAGCTATAAAAGGGAGCAGGGAAACTGGGAAGAGAACTAGCTTCCAAAGTTCCCCAAAACCAGTGAGCCTTTACCACTTTTCACCCTCCAATATCATGGCATGTACTCCAAAGTACTCCAAAACCCAGATGTACATACCAAGTATGAACTACAAGAGGTTTCAGAGATCTGTTTCTGGACCGAGGAATAGCAAAAGAAATTCCTAAGGGCAGGAGTGGAAAGTTTGCCTGTTTTTGTACTTTCTCCTCTAGTACCCCAGCCTGCAAGCAATGTAGTAAATAAATACAATGATGGCAGCAGTGTCCAGGCAGGCACCTTCAACTCTGAGGGAGAGAAACCCCTCTTGCCAGAAGAGCTATGGCCCCCAAAGTAGTTGGCATGTCATCATTTCCCCCCCTGTGTTCTTCAAATGCATTGCCTTGGATATAGGTGGAGTCACCAAAAAGTATGCATCAGGGCGGGAGAAATGAAAACCAAGATTTCTGGGAAAGGACCAGGAAAGGAGACACAAAGAAGTCAAACAATGATGGGAAATTCAGGATTGGAAATCAAGAACACACCTGAACTCATCCTTGATTTGTACACGTGAAGCTCAAAAGCTAAACATCACACCACAGACTTTGAGAACTAAGTAGAGTGATCTACTATTAGTGCCTCCACTGACCACTCACTTATACACATCAGGGCTCAGTACAAATTAAAAATATTTGTGGGCCCTCCCTGATGGTACAACAGGTTAAAAGCACAGCGCTATGAAGCTGCCCACTGCTGCTTCTGCATGAGTTCCATCCCTGGCCCGGAGGTGACCCACATGGCGCGGGTCACCTCTCCTGTCTTGCCCACTGCTCCCCTCAGCAGTGTACTTTGTCAGTCTGCTTATTCTGCTCCCCACTCTGTCTCTGGTGAATCCTCTCACCATCCCTGCACTTCTGGCCTGTACCCCAATTCTATATGCATAAATAAATAAAACCTTAAAAAAAATTTGCAACCCAAGCCAATATTGAAACCAAGATCAAAGGTAGTCAGAACTTGTAGGTTGAACCTGAATTAGTTGATTCCCTGCTAAAAGAAAATAAGGTTCTTTATAGAATACAAATGAAAGTGAGTTTTTAAACTCAGGGAACAGAATCACAATAGGCTAACCTCAAAGGTCTTAGGTGTTGCTATTTAAAGTTGCTGTGATCTAAGTAGTAAGAAAATACAAGAAAAATGAAAAGATACATCTCTAAGAAAATAGGAGATAGAATCAAGTGAAAATGCATATAGGCTGAAAACATATAGTAACAATGACTTTGTAATTATGATATGTTTAATAGAAGAATGGGTGTGAGAAAAGTGAACTTGTAAAGAATAGAAGTTATTCTATCTTAAAAACATTTCAAAATGAGTAGTGCCTGAAAGGGACTCATGGAATAATACCAAACTATCTAACCCCTCTAACACTGTAGCCCCAGATGAATAGGGCAAACGTGTATTATCTGGTCATTATGCTATGTCTGTCATTGGTGGAGCAAGGATTAGACTTTACAGACCATAGTCATAACTTAATTATCTGATTTGGATCCCAGATGGATCTTACTTGTTGTTTAAGGGCATGAGAGCGCTGTTCGTTAGGACAGACCACAAACAACTGTTAATTATAATGACAACAGTTATTTTTGTTGACTATAATCTTAAACTTCCTGCCTAATGGGAAACATTATTTCTGGTGTGCAAAATGATGAAGATGGAAGTTTATAGTGATAACAAATTTGAGCCGCTGTTACTCGTTTTCCCCTCCTAACCTAAAGTAGTGGCTCTAACTTAAAGCCCCTTTGTATTCAGTTGCCAGTATATGGAGAGCTAGAGCTTAAGCTCGTAAGCTCTGTGTTAAAACTGTCATGTCAGAATTCTCCAGAAAAATAAATGGCGCCCTGAAAAGTGACCGACGATTTAGCCTCAAGCTCAGATTCAAGTTGGAATCTCACCAGCCTGCGACTTTATACTCTTAGCCAAGCATGTGGAGGACACTATGTTGATTGAAATATAATAATTTCACCGAAGAAAACAGGAAGACAAATATCAAAATTGGGCAAAGTTGGGTATCTTGTGGATACAGACAAAAGAGAATCATAACACAAGAGCTTCCAGTGATCCCTGCGTGGGAACTGAGAGTGTGAGGGATGCATACGTGGAAACTTGGGCTGCAGAAGGAATGTCCATCTGTGGGTGTAGTGCAGCATGGCCGAAGAACTTGGCCCTGGTAACATTTAATTCTTGAGATGGATTCATGGGGCCACCAGAACTCGATGGGATGTTAGTCACCTCTAAGCGCTATGCCTTGTGTGCTGTTACCTGGCTTTACTTACCTGTCTTTTCACCTTTAAAAAAATACTTCCCTCTCTTTCCTCTCACCATACACTTGCTTACACTCTTTTGAAGAGTGATTACTAGTGGATCTGAGTGAATCCAATAATACCATGTTTCAGATATTCTTGTGACTTTTATATAGAAAATCCATTATATTTTGGACTTCAATAGTGCAGCCTTGAAATTATTTTTTAAATTCAACTACAGCCACTTTCTATTGATAAAGCAATGGTGGACTTTCATGATATACAGTTAATAATATCTTACCAATTTTACAGCATCTGATTCTATTACTTTGCTTCCCTAATTTGTTTCTTGTGCCTATTTCCATTAGCCGGGAGTATTTAGACAAAAGAGAGGAGCAAAGACAAGCAAGAGAAGAAAGGTTTGTATCGCGCTTCTTTCCTATTGTAAATGGCAAAATGGCATATGACTTTGCGCTCTAACCAAGCATGCGGAAGAGACTCTGTTCTTGAAATATAATAATTTTTATATACTTTTACCTAAGACAACTCAGACCTTGGCATGTTGTACATTAATATTCTGTTCTATAAATTTTCCAGGAAAGTACAGCTAAATTGTGTAGTGTCATTGTGGATGTGAAATATGCATGTGTCCTTCCAAAACTCTTGTCTAAATGAGCACAACAATTTAACATATTGATGTAGGGCCTGGGTTTTTAATACCCTGCACCTCCACTGCTGAGCCTGGATGGGGTACCCCCACTGTGTGCTTCTAGGTCACTGGACCAGCCAGGTGCTGCGAGACACCCCTGAGCCTCACTGGATGTGTATGATTACTTACCTGTCTTTCTACTTAATTGTACTCAGTTTCTTGATGGCAGGAACCATGTTTGTACCGGTGACCACCACCGTGCTTAGAACATAGTAAGTATTTCAGAAGAATGATAGGATAAATGAGCAGGTGTACCAACAGCTTTATTTGAAATACTCGTGCTAAAAACTAGTTTCATATCAATGGAAACATGGCTTAAATTCCAGTCAAAGAGCAAAATGTGATGTTTGTAGTGTCTGATACATTTAGATAAGCAACAGACACAAGCAAAATACACCAGCAAAAGATGAAACTTTATCTCAACAGCATTGCAGTTACTTCCTCTACCACCAGATGGGGATTCTGCATGACAAGATGGAAACGCTGATTCATGCCAGAGCCAGTTGGGAATCTAACAATCTGAACTATGTCAATAAAAAGTGAAATTGTGCTAATTTTTTTTAAGACATCATCAGGACAGTCTGAGGCAGGGAAGAGTAGAGACTGCATGTGTTCAATTAAATTAGCTGCTTAGGTCAGCAACATAATCAAAACTAGGGCATTGTTTTTATTCTGACGTTCTATTACATTATTGCCATCCTAATAACCACTTGTAGCCAGCAAATTTAAAGTGAAGAGTTCTTATATACTTTTTACTTCCAGTCTTGAGAAAACAAATTTTATTTCTCTTTTTTTAAAGCATTTGACAACTTGACTATAAGGTTGTATCCACTCAGGCAAAGTGACAGCTCTGAGGGTGACGAACTGGCTCAGATGGAACTCGCAGTTTTCCCAAACCATCAAAGGCTAGTTCTTTCTGGATATTACTTTATGATCTTTCTCAAATCAGAGCATTGCTCATGCCTGGAAAATTTGTGCACAGAAATTTGCCGTCACTTTCTTCTTGTTCTCCCTCAGCCCTGGACACCAGGTCTCCACCCGCCTGGGCCTTCTTAATGGGTGCAAGGGTGAGCTCTCTGTGACCCCATGTCAGGTCTCCCCTGCAGAGACGCCTCTCTGTTTGCACTTAGGTTTGGGGAAGCAGTGGGCATTTTCCTTTGACTTGGATGGGCCACTTTTCATGGTTAGTTTGCTTTTGAATTACCTGATGAACATGGGAGTGAGGAAGATGGCTTTCCTCCCTATTTGGAAAACTGGGGTTGGGAGGGTTCCCCGTAAACCAGGAAATGAGGTTTCCAAGAAATAAGGAAGACAGAAATCACTAGGGAAAGTGACAGAGATCAGAGGTAGAAAGACTTACAGATCTGAGGTCTGAGGACAGTACCTTCTATTAGCTCTTCTAGATAGAGCTGAGTGTATTGCTTGGGCTCAGGTCTCTGAGTCGTAAGGCAGAGACACAGAAAGATGCCCAGAGCCACAGCAGAGGGTGTCGAGGTTTGTATCATCTGGTGTAACCAGAGGAATGTGGTTTTGCTATTTTGAGGCATAATGGTCATCCATGCACATTTGACTTTGATTCATTTCATATCATCTCATTTCATAATTTCAGGCAAACTGCTTTATTGGCAATGGTGTAGACACAGTAAGTTTCTGCTGAGTTGCTCCTTCTGTTTTTTTTTTTTTTTTTTTTTTTTTAGTAGCATACGAGATGTCGAGCAGTGACTGGAGTTCAGACGTGTGCTCTTCCGATCAAATGAAGAAATGACATCCAGGCTGGGCACAC